TATATATATATATATAGACACACACACACACCATCTCCTTAATGAAAAAACTCACTATTGAGAATACATTTCAATTGAATAAGTATTCTATATCTTCAGTTTTGTAGTAGTAAGAAGACGCTGACAAAAGTTTCAAATTTTTTAAATATTAGAAAAATCAGAAATACCAGTATAATTTGGAATACGGCACATTTATAAGCATATTCCACACTATTCTTACATGAAATTTCAAGAATTTGTTTTTGTCAAACAAGCAGAGTAAATATAAATCTGTCCGGGCCATTTATGAAAATACCGAAGCAAATACTATTTCGTAGGAAACTTGCTCTTAATACAACTTGACGTTTTTATAACTTTGTGATATTATGAACAATTTTGTGTGGTTTCAGAGCATCAAGACCTCATTGATCAGCAGTGCAGAATAATGAAGAAAATGGAAAGAAGGAAATGATTTTGTCATATGTCAATAATGTATACTTGTTAATAATGTAACTTCTTGGAGTATTACTATTTGTTTGTATCATTAGTATTTATGTACAAAGCTATCAGGTGAAAGTCATTAACAACTATGTATATATTCCATGAAATATAATGTTTTGTTATGGCTGACAACTATCTGAAATGTTATAAATACTCTCTTTGTCTTGTTATTGACAATCAGGATTACGAACAATTTATCTTGGAGTTGATGGATTAATTGTGAGTAATACAAGTGTTTACTGTAAGTATGATTGAAGGGAAGATAAGTTTCAAGGACTACTTCTACCCCATCATCAGGTATTACTGTAAAAGTTGTTAAAATTAGCATAAATTACTACAAATATAGAATTAACATTTTTGTCATCAAAATTATATAAAAAATTTAATCAATAAAATTTTTACATTATTTAAAAAATCTTTCATAGATGTATAATAAGAGAGCCAAGTACAGCACTCAACCTACCACAATTGAGATTCTTGATCACGTACATTAAGTTATTTTCAGAAGTGTACCTGAGGTGACTGTTGGTAGCACTAAAATAAGCATACTATGCAATTGACTTGGTGTTGGTATTGAATCACTCAGAATGAGAGGAATATGATTGGAGGTAAGATATGTTCATTTATTTGGAAAATTAGGTTGTAATATTTTTGGAAAACTTATTGCACTCAAACATTGAGTTTATGGTGAGTCTTAATTTTATATCAAGAGAGACAGAAATTATCCTGGGTCATTTTCTATACTAGCAGTCAATTATGATAACCTCCTTAAAATTAATATTGTAATTGTGATTGATCTTGTGTTTTGTAGGCAAGTTATGCCTACTGCTAATTTGAACAATTGTGTGTTCATTTGTACATTGCTTTAGTTTTCTTCTTGCCTCTGTGGTATAATTTCTATGCAATTATTTTTGCATGTTTTCTACGCAATTTATTTTGCAGTTATTAAAAAGTGTCCTTTCATCAATAGTGACAGGATAACTGATATCTCAAAAAGAGGTAAAACCTTCAAAACACATGGAAATTAAAATATAGAAATTATACATGGCAACGGCCGGTCATGTTGAAAAAATTGCATTTAATTCAAGCCTAAACCTTTATGGAAATAAAGAATGTATTGATATAAAGCGGTAAATACTAGAAAACTAAAATTTCAATCTTTTGTAAAATGATCTACAGCAAAAATAACCACTTAATATTTTTAACAAAACTATTTGTGAAAACATCTTTAGTTACTACTTTTTTAATTCTCTTCATAACATTTTACCAGTTATCTGGGCAATGTATACTATGCTAAAATGGACTGGCATAGTATGAGTATAATAATCTCAAAGATAAAACTACTCATTTGAAACCAGTTTTTCTAAAAGGTAACATTCTTGAGCATCTATTTAAGTACCATAGGCAGCTAAAAGGGAAGATTTAGCCGAGAAAAGCTGCAAAACATGATCCCCAAATAAAATAAAGTAATACATTTTTAAAAATGATTTTGATGTAAAATACAATTGTTTCACTGAATTGCTCCCTAACTCCATCCAGCACTACATACCGATCAGTGATTTTTAAATTTCTTTTCAATGTCTTTATGACTGGAACATTATTGACTGTTTAAAAATATTTTATATAGATTTTTCAAAAAAAATCTCAAAGAATTTTTTAAAATTATTTTGTTCCAGTGTATCTGTATGGACATTTTTCCATAAGTAAAAAATTGAGGTCACCCAAGTCCAAAAAATGGTTACTACTTTCAATTATATTTTATTATCTAAAATGAAGTACTATCTTTTAAAAATAATATTTAAATTTATTCGTTTCTGCTATCAGTTTTCAAATAAAAAAGTAAACTGAAAATTGGTGACTCGATAACAATGCTGAGAAAAGGAAGAGGTGCTACATAAGAAATATGGGGTGGGAGAAAGGCAGTGTATATTGCCTCACAAGTTTTTGGTTTCATGGGATGCCTCATTGCAGACAAACATGAACTTGCAAAATATTCTTAAAGTATTGGATGATTTTTTAGATATTACAATAAAAAAAATGACAGCATTCGGGAGGTGAACTGCTTCTGAAACTCGACCCAGACATGTGCCATTCCCAATTACAAACCTTTGCACCCTACTTTAAAAAATCTATTGTAGACCAGGCATTAAAACTTGGTACTGACAATCCATGATATTGCAAAAATTAAATCAAAATTCAGATTATATACCATATTGCCAATAAAACACGTTATGAAGAATATTAAATATAAAATGATCAGTAGAACACAATCTAAAAAATAAATTGTTTGGAATGGTCATTAAATTATATTGAGAAAGAAAAGTAAATATTATATTTGTAGCTCACCAATTTATTCTAATTTTAAATAAATGTTTAGTTCTGAAATTTTCTTGTAAAATTATATTCCTGTTTCTTTACTTGTTTAGTGTATTGTACTTGACAGAAAGGTTGTTGATGGTGCAGTAATGTAAACTGGGCATTAATTAGTAAAAAATTGAAATTGTTGATGACATTCTTTCTACATTTTTAATATGACGATTTATTATAGGCATATAGGTGGTAAGTTTCTTAAAATTAGATAGACTTTATTCTACATTGCCCACACCAGAATACAGAAATATAAACTAGACAAATTTAAAAATTAAAATGAAATAAGTAATTATCCTTTGGTCTCCACTTACCATATGCAAATGACATTTAATGAATACTTATTTTTTCTACTCACTAACCATTTCAAGTAGTCCAGGAAAACTAAAAGTGATTGCCACACCATTTTCAAATGAAACTTTTAGTAATAATGGGCAGAAGTGCGAATCTAATCCTGGAAAGTAAACATGTAGAATTTATTTAATTAGTTTTTATTTATTACAATTTTTGTTTGTTTATATACTTTTTTATTAACCACTTTTAAATAGTTGATTTATGTTCAGGTGTAAATATGACATATTCATTGAGAAGTCTAGTTAGCCTATTTATTTATTGATAACAAAATGTTATTTATTGTTAAGTAGTGTTGCTATTTTAGTTGGCTTGAAAATAATGATTTTCCTTGTTCTCATTTATTCTCAATTTGGAAATAAAGTATTTTTTGCGCAAATTTGCAAGTGTTGTTTACCTACTTTGAATTGAATCACGAAGTTGAAATTTATACCTTATCGGTCTTTTACATGTGGAATTTTCAGATTTATATCTGGTCCAACAACAGATATAACAGCTGAATATTAGGAAAATATCCAAAATTCTAATTTTAAAGAGGTAAGATACACTGAAGAGCCAAAAAAACCCGTGTCCAGTACCACACACCGAACCCCGCCAGCACTCAGAAGAGTCGCAACACGACGTGGCATGGACTCGACTAAGGTCTGATGAGATGCTGAAGGTAATTGACATCAAGAATCCGGAAGTTCGTAAGCTCGTAAAGGTACGAGAGGGTGGAGATCTCTTCGGAACAGCATGTTGCAATGTTCATGTCTGGTGGATTTCGGTGGCATGTGGAAGGGTTTAAATTCAGAAGAGTGTTCCTGGAGCCACTCTGTAGCACTTGTGGGCTGTCGCATTGTCCCGGAATTGCCCAAGTCCATCGAGCTTTTCCAAGAGCCTCCAGCTTCAACAGTCCCCCGTTGACATGCAAGGTTCACAGATTCATGTGATTGTCGCCGTACTTGTACACGTCCATCCGCTGGAAACAATGCGAAACGAGACTCTTCACACCAGCCAACGTGTTTCCAGACAGTACAATATCGACGTTGATAAGCCCAGGCGAGAAGTAAAGCTTTGTGCCATGGCCTTTCGTAATATAGTGGCTCATCAAGAAACCCGAGTAAACCCCATGTCGATATTGTCTCGTTAAATGGTTCCCACGCTGACATTTGATGACCCAGCATTGAAATCTGCAGCAATTTGCGGAAGGGTTGCACTTCTGTCACGTGTCCATTCTCCTCATTCGTCGTCGGTCCCGTTCTTGCACGACCTTTTTGTAGCCGCAGCGATGCCGGAGGTTTGGTGTTTAACCGGATCCCGATCACGGTACACTCGTGAAATGGTCGTAAGGGAAAATAAAAATTTCATCGCGACCTCGGAGATATTATGCCCCAACTCTCTTGATCCGACTATAACACCACGTTCAAACTTTTAGATCGTGTTAGAACTTTTAGACCTGCCATCGTAGTAGTAGTAGTAAGCGATCTAACAACTGTGCAAAACTCTGGTTGTCTTACATACTCGTTGCCGACAAGGACGCCGTATTCTGATGGGTTCCAGATATCTTTATTTCAATACGCATGGCTATACCAATTATTTGGCTCTTCAGTAGACATTGGCAATTCACATAATAAGTAATATATTCACACAATAAACAGTAATCATGCTGTTATATATAAAGGCACTAGTAGTACTACAACAGCGCAGTGTTGTCAAAACTGTGCAATTCGTTTGGCATATCTGTTTAGTGATTATTTTCTTAACAATTATTTGCAAAAAGGTTTATTTCTATCTGTATTTAGATTTCAATTTGTTTGTGGGTTAATTATAGTACATCATACACAGGTGATGATAACTAACTCTTATACTAATAAATTATTATTAAATTACTAATGTTCTACGGTTTGTAATATCAAATTAATTTATAATTGCATTATATTATATTTACACCGCCTTAACCGAAGTGCATGAAATTAAAAAATTATAATGTGATTCAGTGTCTTTATTTAAAGAAAATATAAACTAGTGTCTGGCCAAACTCATCTAATACAGTATACATTTAAAACAGTAAAATGAACACTTTAACATTCTATAGCAGAGAAACAGCAACATGTTTATTTTATAAAAATATAAAGTAAATTCTGAAGTTTTGGAAACCCTTGTTTAATTTTCAATTCACAAAATATTTGCCAAAAAAGGGAAATCTAATTTTTATTTATTATTATATTATAAAGCGGGTGCTCTGAAATTTGGAAATAATGTAATATGGAAGGTATTGCTGGTGAAATGTTGAAATATGAATTGATAACTGACCTTTTATTCAGTAAAAAATTAATTTTCTCGCAACACGGAGAAAAAATGCGTATTATCAAATAGGTTTCTTATCATTTCTTAAAGGCTAATTTGTAAACACATGGAAAATACTATTTCTATTAGTTAACTACTCATAGAAAATATTATTGTGTATTATTTAAATTTAATTTTCTATTTGTTGCGTCTTAACCCTTCTTAGGCAATGAATGTACCTGGAGTAATCCCCCGTTAAGTTCAGAATTCAATTTCTATGCAATGGAAAACGTTTTTGAAATAACAGTCGTACATCTTACCACACTCAAAACCACTTTACTTTGCATCTACAGACCTCTAACAAAGCAAACTTTAGAGAATTTCATTTTCTTTGAAAACCTAGAGATAACTCTGAACAAAAATTAGGAATTTATCTTTAAAATCCATTATTATAAGTGGAGATGTCAATATTGATTTTCTGCCAGAATCCCACTAAAAAGAGCAGTCTCTCAATTTACTGTATTCTTTTAATTTAGATATTATAGTGAATGTACCTACACGGAATACACTTAAATCACAAAATGCAATAGATCAAATTATAATTAACAAAACCACAACCAGATATGAAATAAAAACTACATTGTAGGTTATAGTTACAATGATGTACAAATTCTTACAATTAGTAAGAACATGAACACTGACACAATAAATAATACACGCGTGTGCAGAGCATTCACTTAAGTTAACATAAAATTATTTACGAAATACTTGCTGAAGGAAACATGGGACACAGTTTATAACACTGTTGACCAAAATGAAAAATATAATATATTTTTCTCAAAGCTTTCATTTCACTTTAAAGTATGCTTTCCTCTAAAGAAGAGAAAATTAAACATTTCACGGAAAAATAATAAAGATCACACAAAGAATTGGAATCGCGCAGAAACAAACGTATGATTTACTTTATTTGTAAACATCATAACGTATCACTCAGTTTCTATATCTATTTCTGAGAATAAAATATAATTTTAAAGAAAGTAATAGTTCAGGCAAAAATAATGAAAAATAATCAAAATATTTTGAATGCTAGTAATGAAACTAAAGCAATGAGGAATATCGTAAAAAATACATCATATACTTAATAGGGAATGCTGTTTTAAGGGATATGGAAAGAGAAGCAAGTAATCCGGGAAAAAATGGCAAATCTCTTCAACTAAAACTTTTCTAGAAATGCGGCTGAACTCACGGAGGGATTAAAACTACAAAACTACAACTTCATTCCCTTTCCAAAAAAATGTTTAATACTTTTTTTTAGTTCTTTGCCTATTTAAGTATTTGTCAATTACATTTTTTAAATATTTTTTTATTCATTTACTTATTACTTAACAGTTGACTATGACTATGGCTATGACTTATGGTTTACCTTCCTTATAATTTAAATTCCTGATTAAATTATTCATTGTTTGCATAACTTGTTTATTTCCTACATTGCGTACAGATAAGGTAATACTATTGTAGTTTCGAATGCATCATAATGGAATATATTGGGAGGGATCTATTTCTGAATGTTCAATTTATTTGTGAAATTAATCTTGTTTTCCGTGTGATGTGAAGGAAATAAAAAATATGTATAATAGTATTTGTATCTGTTTTCGTAATTAATTACGAAAAGAGGCTCATTATGGTTTTGTTCGGTAGTAAGTCTCCTTTTAAAAGAAAAAGAAACATTAATAAATGAACTTAGAATACCTTGGAGACATGGCGAAAAATAATTTGAATGAATTCAAAAAAGCAATAGTGTTCCTTAAATATCACCTTATAAGAACTTTAATACAAATCAGAATGAAAACTGAAGAACACGAATTGACAAAAATGTATAAGAAAATATGGGCCTATTGCCGCATGTGCCCTATTTTTGCCTTCGTCCATTGATTGAAATTTGTTGATATAGGCAGAAATTTTGGTGTAATATTATATACAGGGCCGGATATTATATACAAGCAAAACAATCAGTTGCTTGGGGGCCCCCATTCATCAGGAGCCCCGCGACCAATTTTCTGCAGTGAAGAGCAGAAAAAAATTATGTAAAATGTATTTAATGTAAAAAAATGTAACAAGTGAAAATTTCTATAAAAAATTATCAGCTTTCATTTGTATCTGTACAGAAAGTACTTGTACTATAATACATTTTTTATTTAATAAAGATGGGGCTATTTCAGGGCAACACAATTTTGTGCTTAGGGCCCCGCACTACTTAAATCCGGCCCTGATTATATAATTGTTAGCTAGCGGAAAGAAAATATGTGTTTTATCACCACCAGTTTTATTTACAGATATTTTACTTGTGTAATCATTTTCAGCCTAAATGTAAAACTTAAGTCTTAGTACTTTAGGAAAAGGTGCTTATTTTTGGTTGAATGTTGAATATAGTAAAATCAAAATTTGATGTAAAACCCTTCAAGGCTATCATGTGACACACAATTGAATTGTGTTTAAAATGATATTTATGATTAGGAAGGCTATTTGGGGCATATATCTGTACACTGCAGATATTGTAAAATAAGTAAAACTGATTTCACAATTTCATGGCAAACATTACAAAAAATATTGGTCAATGACATATTTTGGGAACGAAGCAAATTTAAAGAAAGGCATGCGTTCAAATGAAGAAACCCAACACTAAAAAATAATATAATTATATTAAATATATCTCATACAAAGACTAAACATTAATAATAAAGACATGCCTCGTACTGAGTAGGCATCTGACAGTTCATCAGTTTCTTCTGCTTCTTGGAAGGAGATGCATGTTTCTTATATTCTAACTCTTGATTTAGCTTTCATCTGGGACCACACGTTATCCTCAGGCAACACTCACTTCATTCAGAGCTCTGTGTGTGTGTGTGTGTGTGTGTCACTAACGTCCCAAGTTATCCTCTTTTTAACAGTATATACTATTTTTATTAAGTTAATAATTAATAGGGGAGAGTTCCAGGACCTAAACTTTTATAAATCAAGCACGAGACTGGAGTAATCAAGCACGAGTAAGACTACTGGACTTTCATGGGGGCCACGCCCTCTCTCTTTGCGCACGCAGTGGCATACACGGCGCTGGTCGCTTTCTTGCGTACTGTCGGACAACTAGCTGACCTCATGTAAATGGTTCTTAATACTTCTTAAGAAACACAGTAGCCTGCGTCCCTCGTAGTAACCCAACGGCTGCGCAAATGCAACAACTTGCAGCCAAGTTGCACGCGCGGCACTGTAACGTCTTGTAAATTGGTGAGTTGCGTTTATCACCGGAATAGACATTATTTTTTACGTCAATAATGAAAATAATTCTAAGAATTAGGAATAGATAAAACACACATTCTAAATTATTGGAAAGGTGCAGTTTTATAGAACCGAACAAATGAGGTATTCCAAATAAATGTAAAAAAATAAACAATTTTGGGGTTTGTTCCATCATCATAATGGTAGTACTGAATTTATTTTTTAACGATTTGGACAAAAAACTGTTTTTTCAACATTCTCATCAACTGCGTTCATCTTCTTCTTCGGCATCGCTTCCACGCCTCTCTTTTTTCTTGTATCTTGACATGAAGTGCATATATTTACTGGTGAGTCCAGAAAAGTTGTCTACTTGTGAACAAATTGTTTCCTGAAACCCGGGAGTGTAGAAGCTGTAAATAGAAAATTATTTTATAATTTATTCCGAATCTTAGTATCAGTTTGTAATGGTAGATAATGAAGATAAAACAAATTTCGTATACAAATCTGTTTTTTCATTCATAATCCATTCACATTACTTGATAATAATGCATAACAGAAATTACTCAAAAATGTGTTTTAATTTAAAATTTAACAATATTAAAAATAATTATTATAAAACCAAAATGCGAACTATGTATTAGGACTATAATTTAAAATAATTTACTTCCGTTACCGTAACATGGGGTTACTTGAACCCAAAGAAAAAAGTTTAAAATAAGTGGGCAGTTTACAATCGCGACGACAGACACGTGATTCACGATTTCTCCAACAGTTAAGAACTCTGGTATTTTCTAAGTCGCCGTAGATTGTTCTGTGATCCCAGCTTTGTTGCATATGCGGGAAGGCGTCTTGTGTTTTGGCGGCAACATGTTTTCGTAGCCTGCAAAAGTCTACTCCCACGTCTTTGAGTAGTGCCGGTAGCCGCAAGATAAGGTAAAAAATACATTTTGTACGCATTCAGATAATAATATAATATTAGCAAAATGTAAACATCTGTACACTGTTAAATTAAGATCAAAGAAGTAATGTGCAGTTGATCTAAAAATGGGGCTACTTGTCTAGAAAGGCAGTGTGTCAAAGTAACTGTTAGGAAATGAAAATTAGTAAATGTAGCTTCACTATGCGCACGTTTTGTTTAACTCTCTTTTTGTTTGTAATGGTAAGAGTAGAGGTAAGGGCGAGTTGCTATTTTGTTAGGAATGCAGAGAATTCATTCTTGCAATTCGTGTACCGATGCTAATAAGTTTTCTATAACGCGAAAACGAAAATTTTTCAATTATTGCTTATTTTGCGATTCTTAAAATTTACTTTTATTTATTTGTATTAAACTTTTACTCGTCTTTCAACTTTTTTTAGTTAAAATGACGGGAAGGAATTCTGGAACTCTAGAAAACGTGCGCAAATAATCTTCTCCCCTCTACGCCACATACAGTTTTTACTGTTTTTTAACTGAATAAATCTAAATCTAATATGTAAATTTGTTCGAGTTGTATCATACTACTCGATGCATTAATGTGATATTTTTAAAACCCAAAAAAGCAGCAACTAAATTTGTTCGAGTTGTATCTTACAACTCCCAACATTAATGTGATATTTTGGTTTTAACTCCCCAATAGCAGTGACTTCAGGATGTTGGAAATTTGGTGAGTCCTTGGGGGAAGTTTTCAGCAAATTAATCGGTGATTCTATAGAATACTATAGTAAGGAACAAGATATCCGAGGAAGCGGAGAAGATGCTGACTGATTCTGGCTACAAGAACTCAGGAATAATATGTTTACTTGCGTTTGAACTTAGTGTTCCAAGTGCGGATCCAGAGGCGATTTTTTTTGAGGGGGGAGGGGGGGAATTTGTATGTCTTTATTTATATTGTATACATTCTTACACACACACAATAAAATATACATATTCCCCCTCCCCCAAAATCACCTCTGGATGGAAAAAGTTACTATTATTATTATTATTATTATTATTATTATTATTATTATTATTAAATTATCAACAAGGTAAATTATTTATCATAAAATACTTTTAACAAAAATTTAAAATTTTGAGTTTTATATTTAATGAATACTTTATAGTTTTAAATTAAAGTTATTAATAATTTGTAATTAAAATTGTTGAATTCAGAGCTAGAAAATATGACAGATTATGTAGAATGACGCACTTTAAACTCAGCTCACCCTGTCATTTGATATTATTCGTTTTAATGATTATCCGAAAATATTCTTACGGAGTGCCATGTAATGCTGTGCGAAAAAACGGGGAATTTTCAGCAGAAAAACTTATTACAGGTTCTTGTCAAAGAAAAAGTGGATATATCCAGTTGCTAAATTTAGGGGGGGAAATCGTCCAACACGTGGTTTAGCAAGAATCCACGTCTGTAGGCTCATGATATAGAAAAATCGAATGACGGAAAAACGTCTGTCCGTCCGTCTGTGAACAACGTTAGCGACTAATCCGTTCAGCTGATTTTCTCCAAAATTGATATTCTCCATTCTCTCTATTCTTCATCTGGCTGTTGTTGCGGCCCCTGGAATTTGAAGCCGATATTTTTATTTTTGGGGGTACATAAGCACGAGCAAAAATTTTGAAATTATTTTGATTATTTTTTTGTTAGATACGGTAAAGGACGTTTAAGAAAAAATGCAGGTGTCATGTTAGTTAATAACCCCGATTTTTGGAAAATTGCATAAGTTAAACATTTTTTCGGTGTGTTCGTGGCTACAACTAAAACTTTTATACAAATAAAATATCGAGAGTAGAGATCTTTCCCTTAATGTAATCTGTTTCATAAATATAATTTTGAAGTAAGGTCATTTACAATTTTTCAAAAATCTGTGTAATTTAAGTTAATTGTGCGTTAAAAATAGTCAATATTTAATTTTATTTATTCAATTTTTTCTCATATACGGGTCCCACGTTGTTGATGAAATTTTGTTTGTGGATAGTCTGAAGGGCCTTTAAGATAATGGTGTAGGTTTCATGTTGGTTAAAAACCGCGTATTTTCCAAATTTAAAATTTAAAATTTTTTGAAAATTTGATCATTTTATGCGTGAAAATAGGGCAAAAATGTACGTGTTGTTTAGAACAATTAGTAAGTCAAAATTAATAATTACTGAAAGAAATTGGGGGAGGTGATTTCCCTCATTTCCCCCTCCCCGTGGATCCGCTCCGGGTGTTCTTATTTAAATGACCTCAAGAAGAGGCCAACGATCAGCGACGTTTGGTGAGTAGCACTACAGCTGCAGCTACATTTATTGTTTTTCAAACAATCGCTGCATTTATTATGCATACGCTGTTGCGGGACGAGTTCAGTAGATTCGTAACAGTAACTCCCCTATGATCATTCGAACGATGCATTTCACACCCCGCCACTATTTCCGCCCTCAACTGCACCCTCTCTCAGGGTTGGGCGGAATTCTTCAAATTTATCTAAATATGTATTTAAAATACTTAAAATAGAGTTAATACAATTATTTTATTTTTATTGCAACAATATACGGGAACTGCTCTCAATCATTGTAGTAAATGATGTTTCTCAAATACGACTATAATAGTTTTTCATGAAGAAAAGTCTCTATATCTTGAATATTAAAGTTAAGAAGACATCGAACATATTTCAAACTTTTGCCATTTTCGAAATGTCTGAGAATTCAACGAAAATCAGACCAGCTCCATTTTTATAGGTGTAATTTGCTCTATCTAAAAAATATCCATAAAGTGTGAGCCATTTAAAAAAAATCTAAATGATGTTGAGGCTTCAAGTAAAGTATGGTATGGCCAGAGGCCATACCATTCGTTTCAATTCACTGGGTCTCGACGGGGTTTAACAATTTTGGAGAAAAATGTTATGAAAGGTGAAGGAGCAACAGTTCAAAATCGCACAATCAAACAGACATTTTACCGAAAACAACTTAATCATACCAAGGACCCACATAATGGGGATTCTGGGTGAACAGCGTATTAAATAAAATCATTCGCTTCATGTTTCAACAAAACTTGTTTTTTTATATCAAACGCCCAGAGAACGAGTTTTTCTGTTAAAAAAGCACCTTTTAATGAAGCAATACTATTTCTGTATACCTCTTTAGCGTAAGTATATAATATTACAGTACATTAAGTTTAACTTGTGTCTCTTTAGAAATACATGCGCAGTATATAGGTGGATTGTACTATTACTGCATAAGTATCCCATAGAATACGTACTAATGTTTTGTTAGAATCTACCTTGAGCAGAATTTTTAGTGTTTCCATGACCGTGATAGAAAGGTGTCACTTCTTTTATAATTTGCAACACCATACGTTTTAAACTTACTTGACTACATCGGTAGGGAAACAAGCTTTTATTGTTTCCACGTACTGGTCCAGAGATTCTCCGGGAGTTGTGACGAATTGTAATACCTTCCTTAGACCGTTCATGTCGAGAAATGCCTTTCTTTCTTCAAGACTTCTTGGAAGAACCTATGTGAAAAAAACAACACAAATGAGCGACAGCTTATTATAAATTCTAAATCATTATTAAAGTAATATTTTTGATTCCAATATATCATCAGATAATGTACATAACAATATAAAATGTTATATGCTTCAAACAAGATTTATAATTCTATGGGAATTTCAAATTATTCTTGGAGGAAATGAGGTTTGCTTAGCACAAATGTGAAAGTAATATAGCGGTAAAATCCATGTACGAAACAACACTTGCCAAATAATAAACATTACTTTTGAAATTTGTTTCTAAATTTAATTTTGATTCTTTTATAACTCTATAAGCAGTGGCGGCGCGTGGTCCTGCTAATAGGATGTGCAGCGTCTCTCTTCTCGCCCGTTCCTCCCCCCTCTCTCTCACTCACATACACGTGCCCATTCATACAGGCTTACGTTTCAAGCACTCACTTCACTTATTACAATAAATAATGACAATGAATCACAGGGCATCTTATGAAGTTTGATAGCATGCTAAGCAGTTCCTTTTATCAGCAGTGAGGGCTGGTCACATTTCTTTTTACAATATCCGCTTCGACTTCGTTCGGCGAGGCCCCCTCCGAAGTATTCACGGCTTGGGTCGGGTTACCGCATGACGACGCGAGACGTTCCAGAATCTGTGTCGCTGCTGTAAACACTATTTCTTTTCAGCAATTTTTGCTGTGGTTTTTTCATTGATGTCATTTTCACGTTTTCGACGCTACTTATTGTTAGTTAGAAGAACACACTAGACAGAAAAACGAACACTTCAACTTAAGTTTTGCAAAACGCAGTAAAAAGTAGCTTACCACATACGTTTACAAAATACATTTGGGTTTTCACAAGCTTCGGAATGGATTTGTAATGGCAATTCGCTTTAAACCATACGAGAATATGCATATAACATTCGATTAACTCATTACTTATGACTGCATCATTGCGCAGCAATGCGTTCGTGTTTCGCGCGCTAGCGAAGAACTGCTTTGGAAGGAATGAGAGCTCATGTAAGTGGAGAGATATCTCACAGCCCGTTGTCTTAAAAACTTGTGCTAGCCGAGTGGTGTATGTTCGCGACGTGTCAAGGCAACTGACCGCATCGCCACTCAGGTGCCCCGTCCCCACATTGCCCCCCCTCCTCCTTCCCCTGCAGCCCCACGACAGCCCCGACGCCCTCGGTCCAATCGCCTTTCCAGAGTGCGCCGGCTGGCTGGGGGGCATTGGCGGCGGGCTGTAATCGCAGCTTGCGAACGGCGCGTGTTTTGGAACACCATTTTTCGGAAATGCTCTGGGAAGACTTGTATTCTTGTTAAGGAAGAGAGGTTTAAGAGAAATGGCACCGAATTAATTTGGGTGTGCACATGCGAACGTGCCGCCACTGTCTATAACGCTTTATTGCAACACTAATACCTCAACATAAATGTACCCGAAAGTGGGCAAAAGGGGCATGCAACTTGTTTATAATGTTGCTTTATTGCATTCGTTCATATTTGAAAACTTTCTTCTAACGTCATCAACTGGCGTTGCTAGCCGAATTGCTTAACTACGCTTCGTGAGGTCACGGAGGTAAAGTGACTCGAGACATTGCGGGTTCTTGGATTGGTGATGTTTTGGAATCCCCGAGGAACAAACGGCGCCAAACCTCTGGCCGAAGGGATGAAACGCAATGACTGGCTGGGCTGAAACAGGATTGCTCCACTCCACGGTCAACGCCAGTGCTTGGATAGAACGTTACGAATTAACATAAATTAAAAAAGTCGCTCGTTTTCAAATCCGGTTCTTATGCAATAAACTCAACATTATATAAACTTGTTGCATAATATAGTACTATTTTTACTTCTTTTAATCCTCTAACAATACCTCGCTGAAGTGTGGCAAGACGTAGGGCAATTGCTTCTGCGGCGCAATCCTGAAGAAGGCCTTAATGAGCTGCCAGTCGGTGCACTCGTCCAGAAACTGCTTGCAGCTGCTGCTCACCGCCGACCGCATGTACTGCGACGACGTCGGTTGCCGGTACAGCTGAAGCGTCACCAGAACGCGAACCCTTTGTGAGCCAGTGATCAAGCAGGGACAAGCCCTTATCTTGTAGGATAGCTTGATGAGAGATTCCGAGCGCGCCAACTACTTAGGTCATTAGTCATGTTTATTAACAATCCGACGCTGCAGTTCAGCGCAGGCTGTTCCACTGACTCGGTGAGCGGCAGGATACACCGATCGAGGGGCGTCGTTTTCACGTCAGCGTCAGATCGTTTCACACGCATATAGTGTGGTTGCAATATTTCTATGTGACATGTGAGTGGTATTTCAAGAAGAGGCAGTGAGAACAATACGACTTGTGGATGAAATAGATAACACGGTACAACTTAAAGAAGTCGAAGCAAAATAAATATGAACGATATGTCTGAATTTGAAAAGAAAATAGTACTCATTCGAAAATGCTCTTACATAATTTTCTAGCCAAGCCACTCACTGTGTTTCCAAAAAAGCATTTTTTTTACATTCTTGCCTCCTACGTACTTACGTAGTAATGGGAAAATATTGTCAAGCTCCAGCGGAATGTGGATGCTTAAAAATGGTGGAAGTCTCATTTTCATTGAACTCTGATTTTCCGAAATTTACAACCGTTATATTTTCACAACTACAATTTTGAAGATAGAGATGTCTTTGATAATAAAATATATTCTTATGACAGATCCTAAAATAAAATGGTGTAAAATTTGTCGGAAATGTAAGTAGTTTTCACGTAATTTTGCGTGAAATATAGACTATTTTCAAATACTTTTTCTCGAAACGGCTCCATTAAAAAAATCATATATAAGTAAAGTATGGGTATAAAATTGTCCCAGGCCCCAATTTTTACAATTTATTTATTTATGGTCTCTTTATAACGTCAAGTTTACAATTATGACAAGAACAAAAATTTTAGAGTTAATCACATTTTAACAATACATAAGGTTTAATCTCACTTCAGTTCTAATACATTAGTCAGCTACATAAGGCTGTACAGTTTTGTAGTTGCTAAGAATTTTATTATTTTGGCACACCCGCTTGCAGAAAAAAAGCAGGTTTCATTTTCGTTGAAATTTGAATGTTAGGGAATGGCAAAAGTTACACATTTTTGTTTTATATTTGTCTATTAATTCTCTTGATATAATATGTTGTTTCTAGCCAAATTTCAAAGACAAGTTAATCATTTTTATTACATAATGTTTCTTTTAACTAATTTGTCAAATTCTCAAAATAATTTTACAGAAACGTTATATAAAGCAAATTTATTATAAAAAAGTATATGAAGTTGAATGATTGAAATGTCTTTTAAATTTGGCCAGAAACAACATATATCAAAAGTTACAAACATTGCAAGAGATGTTACAGATGTACTGTTACAGCATCACTAGGCTTTGTATTTTTCGCCATCCTTGTAAAGGGGTTGGGGGCTGGGGCCGAGGGGTAGAGAAGTAACTCGTGGGCTGGATTCAGGGAAGAGAAAGACGGACTCGTGGGTCAGCGGCTGAGCCGAATTCACAGAGGAAAATTGTTAGCTTGAAATAAAAAAATAAAACTGCACGAGTATCTTCATAATGGGAATACGTTTTGGATGTAATGATATTTATAAAAGCTATTTAGGTTGACACAATTGAGTAAAATTACATAGCATCGTTGGCTTGGGATAGTATGTTGCGCCATCCCCATTTATCGTTCCCAGGGTAGTTACATGACTTCTCAGTATATGCGGAGATGCGCAACACCTAGACTCGGGGGAGGGGGGTAACAAATCCATTGATACATCTCACATGAAGTGACAAATCTTAGTTTTCGTCAAAATATGCGTATATTCGAAAAGCATAATACAAATGTTTGTTTGTGGTTCTTCCTCTCGATCGGGTTGAAGGGACCTCTTCGCCGTCTTCTACTTTAACAGTCTCATCCTCGCGACCGTCTGGAGAAGGGCGAGGCGCCCCTCCTGATTCAACGAGAAATTGTGTCCTTTTTGATGAAGAAAATGGAACCGACTGTGAGTTTTTGATAAATATTTTACACGTTTCAATGCAACTCAATTAGAAATGACACACATTTGATGAAACTGAAATCTAAATTAAATAGACTTTGAGAAACCTTATCAATACATTAACCGAAATTCATCGCGATGCATTTTGAAATTGTTAATTTGGCCTGAGATATGGTGTAATATTTAGGAGGAAATCTTCAGATTAATATTTGGGTAAGTCACACTTGGCCTACATAATCGTTAAAGTGGTGAGAATGGAATAAATCCACAATTTTTTAAATAGTATTTTTGTTCTCAGCTTTGTACTATAAATTATATATACTGTACCTCAACTAAACGAGGATAAATATCCAAATTTGCTATCAGAGTACTATATGGTTCTCCTCGATTAAATATATCCGTAAATATTTTGATGATGGCGAAGATCACAAATTCACTGCAGTTTTGATGGAGGAGGACTGAGAGAATGAGATGGCCCTGCAAAATAAAACAACAATAAAATTACAGTATTTGTTACGCCTACGTAGTTAATTTTTAGTGCCACCAACAATCAACCTTTGTGAAAGAAAATCGTTAATTAAGTTTTAGGTTTGAACACGAACGTATCAATTCTTTTTAAATGTAGAAAATGTAAATGCTCGAATTTTGAGAGATTAAATTAGAGAAATCGTTTCTGAAAATGCTGTTTGCACCATTTGCCCAATCAACCTTGAGTTCTTCTTCAATGCCTTCCTGCACGTGTGGAAGGGAAGTTCTTGTAAATGGGTGTAAGGGGAGAGGAAAGAGCCAGGTGCGGTCCATGGACCGTTTGTTATGGTTGCTCCAACATTCCCCAGATCTGAATCGGAGAAACCACAGAAAATTACCGATCAGAGCAGCCGTCCGCTCTGATAGACAGCGGCTGAATTCGACCCAGCGACGAAAGTAGCGTCGGAAATTCTCCAACTGTGGGGACTCGAACCCTAAGACCTCCCTGTCGGAGGAACTGCGCTGAAATCAATTGATGCCCTGCGCCCCACGAGACCGGTAACATAATCCTACACACTCTTACAGAAATAACTAATAGAGTAAATTTATAAATGAAACTCTTTAACACAAAAACTTTTTTCTAAAATGTAAGTCCAACAAATATTTTGGTTGGAGGAAATTTGAAAATATAATTTAACACGATATATTTATTACGATATATTCGATACGATTACGATTACGATAAATGTTTTTACAAAGTTTTAAAACGTGGTAGGTTAAGTATTTCTCTATAATTGTATTTTGAATTTGCATGTTATTTATAATTTTATCTTTAATAGACTTAAATAATTGTAAAATATATTTCTGTCGTATTTAGAGAACCTATGTATCCGAAAAAAGTACTTGAAATGCAAACAAGTAATTTACATAAAATGAGGAAATGCAACTTACTGATATTTTTTTAAAAGTAAGTAAACTGATTTTCTTAAAACTTAAGATACTAAAAATCGACAAATTTGACCAACAGACAAACAACGTACTAGTAAACAATATAATACATTTCTTACTCTTAGTATTGACTAGTTGTTTTTACAACATCACACTTTCTTTCCAATCTCTTGTTAGAAACATTTTTACTTTTCTTGAACTTCTTTAGTGGTTTACTTTATAGCTACACACATTGCCGTTACAGCCAGCACACTAATTAATAAAAAAGCTTTCTGCAATTCCAAAGCACGAACTCTGGCTAATCAGGACTTTGTGAAATGAAATGATATGATATGATACTCCGTATCGTAGACGTACTAAGGCGAGTTTGCATGTTTGTTAAGACTGTGAATCGAAGTCTGCTGCAACTCACTTTCAAATCCACGAACCGCTCGGTCACTTCCAGCGAGCTGCTGAGCACGTTGTCCAGGGCGGTGAGGGACGGGTCGGTGCGGTACAGCGTCGTCTGCAGGTTGAACAGCAAGGCCTCCAGCAGGCCGTTCTCCAACATGAGCAGCGTTTGCTGCGAAACAATCACCCAACACAAACGGTAGCTTCAATATGTGCACGTTTTGTTGAACACTCCTTTTTCTTGTACAGGTAACAGTAGAGGAAAGGGAGAG